CGCCACAGCCGATAAAAAGGCTTAAACCGGAGCCGGAGACGAGACCGAAACGCCGCTCTCCGTGCCGCGCCCCAGCGGAGCGCGCCCCCGAGCCGGGTGGCAGGGGAGCGGGCCCGGCGGCGCGCCGCCCCTCGCCCGGACCTCGGGCGCTGTTGCCTTTCCCCTAGCGGGAGCGCGATGGGCCAGTCGCTAACCGTCCTTATCTGGGGGTTGCGCGGCTGCTCGATGAACGCGTGGTGAGGGCAGCCCTGCTGACGCCTCGAGCAACACACTGGCGCCCGCCTCGCGCGCGGCGCAATTTTTGGAACCTCGCACCGCGGCTTGAGCGCGGCGCGTCCCCAACTAACCGTACCTTACCCCGCGGGGTGCCGCTGTCTCTGTCTGTCCGTCCGTCTTTCCTCCTGGTACAGCGTCAGCTGTCTGTACTGAACCCCTCACACCCGAACCCTCCTGCTGCACCCCCCAGGGCTGCGGCACTGGCTCGGCACACCCACGGTCCATCTCAGCCTCTGCTACGGATTCACTCCAGATTCAGCTCTGTAGCAGCAAGGCAGCTGCGAACAGCGCGCGGAGGAAAGGGCCTGCCCCGTCTCACGTCTCCTAAAAAGAAACTGCCTGATTGATCCTCATCTGTCCCGTGCACCGCTTTACCTTGTCCAAATGGCTCCTGCGGTTTTCTCCCACCACAGACCCTCCAGCCGCGTCATTTCAATTCAACATCATTTGCAGCATGCTGACAAGATCTAGAAACCATTCATATGCCATGGGAGAATTTTCCTCATGCTTTTGTAAGCCGTGTTTCATTTTCACATTCATCTTGCACACGGGATTTCACCTACCATTGACAAATGCTCAGCCAGCTTCAGGGCCAGCTGCCTCAAGCCCGGCCGCGGCCCGCTCGCCTGCCAGCTCGCTCAGCTCCTCCCGGCTGGAGCACGGCAGCCGAGCCCCGCCAAGAGGATGGGCTTTGGATCCTCATGAGCTGAGGGATGCTTTTAAGCAAAGTCCGTGGGACTGTGTGCCAGCCATCATTCGCAGCTGTCTGATCAGAGTCCCATCACCGCAGCACCCTCCGCGGAGAAGTAAGCGTGCTGCCTGCAATTACGGAGGTGTGCCCCGGGGATAAATCAGATCCCAGGAGAAGAAGGGATCCATCTCATCTTCAAACTGCCTGCAAGGCAGAAAGAGCCAGGGGAACTCATCGCTCAACCATTAAAGGAAACACATCCACGGTGCAAACATAGCCAGTTACCCTGCCGTTCGCCCCCAGGATCAGACGGGGAGGATGAGCTAAGCCTCCCAAGGCTTTTTGCTGCTGTGCTTATAGAAATGGAGAGCTAATTAGCGCAATGATTACAGTGGTGGCTTGGACAGCTCTTGAGGAAACAATCGCTGGGGTGACCAAGTGTTACTCCCTACCATGCTGGATTCATTTATCAACCCTGATGTGCCACCTGCCTCTGAAGCTGCTGAAGGTCAGAGGTGGAAAGTTGAAATCGTGTCTGGATTGAGACCCAACGGATCCGTTAGAGAGACAGCTAACGAAAAAGCCGGGGCAAGACGGGCAAATGAATGCATTGAATTCCAGCCCTTGCTGCATTGGATTGACTGCTCTGAAGAGCCCGCCCCAGTTACTCGAGCTCTGCCTGAATTAACACGCACCAACAGCCAGGAGGAACTTCAGGAGTGGGCAGACAGTCGCACAGCGCCGGAGCAGCGACAGGGCCGGAGCAGCGACGGGCCCTGCCAGCAGCAACCCTGTTGCTGTGCTCTTGCAGCACGCTCCTCCCCAGGGAAGTCAGCCGGCGGGCACTGCTCCACACCGAGGCACGGGAAGGGCAGCTCTCCATCCGAAATTCCAGGTAACGCTGCAGTACTGATAACTACGGAGCTATTCGGGGCCGTTACATCAGCACAGGTCTTGCTTCATGCCCCAAGCAAGGTAGCACTCAACTCACCCGTATCTCTAGCGGCACAGAGGCCCCCAGCCCTCAACCGAGAAAACACCAGGTCAGCAGCCGCTGCTTTTAGCCTCCTACTTTATACAGGCCCCAAAAAGAATGATCTCTGCAGGAACATACAGCGGCACAGCCCTAGGTCTGCAGCTCTGCCACTTTGCTTATTTGACTCCTGAGGTTCCCCAAGACAGTCAATAAAGCAATTTGTGCCATCCAGTATTCAGCTCAGCTGGCATCTGCTGCTGCTTTGTAATGTCTCAGAGTACTTTTCATAGGCACTAGCATTTGTCAGCAAGCCCTTCTCCTGTCTCCCTCCCACTGCCAGGTCTCAAGGCATCATCATTCCCAGTAAACAAGGGAATTGTTAGGTCCCAGGATGCAACACAGCTTTGCCCAATACAGAAAATAATTTTTTGTAAGATGTCATCAAAAACTTACTTCAAAGAACTCAAAGCACCTATCCTTTAATACCTGGGTGGTGCTGAAAGCAGGCAGCGCCATGTATCAGAGAGCAGCCAGCCTATCATCATCTGCTCTAACAGTGAATGCTCACCAAGCGTGGCAGACATAAATGCATCCAACAGAGCTTAAAACAAGACACACCTAAATGCGCTCCCATAAATGGGCAAGAAAGCAAGCTGCACCATCCAGCACCAGCTGACCCAGCACAAAGTGACCAGATTGAATCACAGCCTCGGGCTGCCCCAGCCTGCACTAACATGGCAGCTCCGGGCTGTAGTGGGGAAGAGATGAGCCCTTTCCTCCGCGCTCCGCACCATGCCACACGCAGCAGCGATGTGGTGGCTGCTGCTCAAAGCTTTATCCCATGTCTCTTGCAGGGAATCAGCGATGGGCTGAGCAGCACATCCCCATGGGCTGGTTTCACTCTGCACCTTCCACACCTGGCAGCTTGGGACCCAAGTGGGAATGCTGGAGATACTGTTTCTATCCCAGCTGTTTCCTCATCTCCAACACTGTGGTGACATGGCTTGGCTATTTCACTTTGGAGTCTGTCCGCAAGGTCTTTCTTGGAGGAGGGAAGGGAGGTGGAAGACAGACTTCTAAATCTCAACGTGCAAAACAAAAAAATTGTAAGAGAATTCAACCAGGTTTTTTTGGAACATTTGCTTAAATAATCTTTTGGATTCATAAACAAAGACATGGAGAAGCACTTGCATGCTTCAAGTAAACTCAATATATTATTTGTGAAAAAGGAGAACGCTTCAGATTACACATTGAAGAGCCTAAGACAAGCACTGAGGCCGCACATCACTGTCTGCCTGATGACTACTGCTAATCAGTCAGACAGGGAGCAGTTCTAACTCCTTAAGACATGAAACATCCACCGCAACTGAACTGGGCACCCACGTCCAAGCAAGAGCTAAAGTCAGCTGACATTTGCAAATGTAGTTTTGAAGTCAGGTATGTATTTTGGGTCAGCACAGCAATAATAAAACTCCTGGCAGACAGAGGAACATGAAATTAGCTTATGAAATGCTGACTGCTGTATGCCACCCGCACACAAGTAAAACCACATCCACCCTGGAGGAGTCCACCTCCGTCTGCCATGCCAGCAGTTAACATTTCATGTTCCAAGGCAGGATCACATCTGGACTGGCAACATGAGTGCATCGCCCCAGCCCAACGGTCCTCGTACAGACACAGATCGTACGAGCTATTCTGTACAACACAATTTGCAAAACCAACACCAGCAAACAAGAAGGCAGCGACAGTAGCACAACTGGTTTTACTGGCATGACTACAAGCTGTGGTCAAAGAGCTGAACAGGGGGAAGACTTGAAATAATTATTCCTGGGTTCTTTCTCTAGATCCATGAGATACCATCTGTCACAGACACCACCTTCAAAAATCCACAAACAATTTTGGATGCTGGGCCATTGATTTGCCATTCAATACAGCAAAGCCTCAAGAGACCGGCTGCTTGGTTTGGATATATAAGTTTTTCCATTGGAACATGGACCACAATCTCTTGGAATGACTTCCCAGAGAAAAAATGCCCTTTTTATTTCTCATCATCTACAGACAGATTTCTA